TGGTCCCACTGTGCCCGTGTCGCTGTGCACGCTATGCGTGTGTGTGTTGTCTGCTTTGCGTGTTTACGTGCCAGTGCGTGTGATGTGCAGCTGCAATCTGCTGTGTGCTCCAAAAAAACAATACGTGCTGAACCCCGTTTAAAACCAAGGTGATGTACTGTATTATAAAACCTTCGTTAAGCTTTCCAAACACGGAAACGCTATTTTTTGGATGAAGCCTATATCGCGGCGAGTCCTCAGGCCAGATTACAAATCTCGCTTCGCTCGAATGAAAATGGTGTGGGTGCTTGGCTTATGTGCGTCCCCATGGGTGCATCGAATAATTGTCGAGAGAGCGTGAGGGTACTCGCCACACCACAGGAGCTACTCCTCAGACTCTTCCTGCAGCACCCGCTCTGCCTGCCACCGCCAGTGCTGCTTAGACCCGCACAGCATCTGCGAAGCATAACCTACTACTGACATCCCCGCAAAATACACATTTTGTGCCTGGTACCGCCCGTGCTACTGAAGCCGGCACAAAACTCCCTGAAGGTTGGGTCTGTAGGACGCACATTTCATCCCACGAGTGACATGGTGGCACCACATCTTTGTACATCCCCTTGTAATGACACACCCTTCAGGTGGGCCACTTCATGCCACGGGTGACATGATCGCACCTCATGTTTGTCACACACACACACCCCTCGGTGTTTGCTATCGGGGTTGGGTTTTCGTCGCTCGGCAACGACGTTGTAGTACAAGCCGATCACTTCGTGAGCTCGGCAACCAAGCCACCGCTTTTTTTTTGCCTCTTTTTTTTTTGTTGCGAGAACCATAATGGTGGTCGAGTAGATTATGTTGTGCGGGTTTGAGAACCCTCACTCCGCGCAACGGAGATGATCGGAACACGTTGTGTTCAAATGTTCAAGCACCCTCGACGCAGTTGCACAGTGCTTACAAGTGTCTCTTTGCAAGTGAAAGCATACCCTGCTGTCATCTTTACGCAAGGAATTAAGCACAAGATGCCGACCACCCTTAGCGACTCGCCGAATACCTCACGGCGCAGAGCCTGTTCCGGTGAGAACCCGGCATGCTCCGTCCCGGCTTTGAAGGGATGCGAGGTCAATGGTCTAACGACTACGACATACACGACTATGAGCACAACCCCCCAGTGGGGTGTAATCCTGGGAGTGCATTTTATCACGGGTCACACAAGATATCACCCCCACACACAATACCACACCGTGTGAGTAAGCTTGTTTATCCTAATTTCTATGACACGGTGTGGTGTCCTATGTCACCTACGGTGGACAATGTAGCGTTTAGTCCTTATGCACGTAGACTAGACGCTTAGAAACCACACCGAACCAAAGCCAAAGTAAGAAATCCACAAAATGTTTGACGTTTTACTCCACGTTTGCGCGGCGACTCAAGTTATAGCATGTGGTGTAGAGAACCCACGTCCGATGAGGGTGCGGTTGTCTCCAGGTTCGCGCTGCGGCTCAGGTTGTTGTAGGATGTGTGGTGGCAACCTCTCCCTGGAGATTGGGATAGTAAGGGGAGAGATGGCGCAGTATGCTTGTGCGCGGATTCAGTGACCCCTCGAAGGTTTTTGTCTCCTCTAGACTACAGTAAATGTCCGAGGGTTATCCGACACGTTACCATCTACCAAACCGGGTATATGGGGTGGCAATTGCAATGAAGCCATTTGTAGCAGCTCCAGACCCCATCAGCAATGTGGGCCGCTGAGCATTATTGCGTGCTGACGAAGACGTATCACGGCATACGCCTCGTCGTATCAGCTCAGGGGCGGCTATGGTATGATGATATCTTGTGCACGCGCCCAAGTACCGGCGGCTCTCTTGCCTCTCACCTACTTATGATGGGTTTCACCCGCAGAGGTTTCTGCACGTGATTTTCTTCTGGCTTCGCTCTTTGGGATGGCTGAAACTCGCTCCCTCGGGGAGCATTGTAGCAGTATGCATCTGTGTACGATGCAGGTGAACATCAAGTGTGGCCCAGCCTAAGCGCCAGCTGTGTTTTTTCCTGCTTGCAGCCTCCCGATCCCCGCACTGCGAGAATTTGGCAGTACTGCACGTGACCGGAACGAAAATAACAGATACGTTCATAAAGGCGGAAGAACGCTAGTCCTAGGATACAAGCCGACTCTGGTCGGGGCAGTAATATGCTCCATATGGAACGCCCTTCACATCGCCGTGTGTGACCAGACAAGCGAATGTTGAAGGCCGCGCCAAAACGGGAAAAGTCGCATGTTTTGAATACGTTGTGGATTGCTTCCCTCCCGCTGCGCAACGGACCGCTGTTAGAGGATGAATCCGTTAAAGAATTGCCTCTTACGGCGTCTTACATGTCTCGAGTGATTTTGGGACCTGCTGGATTGCAGGTTGCCGAGTGTAGACGTATGAAAGTCGTCCTATAATAGGGGGGTGCGATTACTCTAACAGCCCAATTTCTCGCTATTGCTCAATACGCATCCATCGTGCTACGTGCTACAAGTATGTCAACCAGATGGCTCATGGCATCTGCTTGCGTCGAAAATGCAAAGGCGCAGTGGGCTGAGTTCCGCGCCAACAACAACTGCTTCAAGTGCACGTACAATACTCTCGATATTCAGGGCAGCTCTGAGTTCTTGCTTATCAGTCGGGGAGCTCCGCTTCGAAAACTCATGTGGAACGTAAAGGATCCATTACCTTGCAATTCTTCCGCATCCATCACTGTTTGTACTGAGACAAGAAGGTCTGTACTGAGCTAGAACCTGTGGTGTTCCCTTGAAGAACCACCCACCGTGCTCTCCTCACTGTTTTCGTAGCTTAGGGTGATAATCTGTTCGAGGTCTGTGAATTCCGTACTGCCGTTTCAGCGGAACTATTATGTCCCGTTCCCCTCGAAAGTTGTGACCCTGTTGCCACCATTCGTCCACAATGAGACGCGACTTTTGCTCGTTTGATGGTACGAGGCAACAACAACTTCAATTTTCCTACCAGCATATATCGCTCAGACCTGCGGCGCAAACTACCGCTTTGATGCCCTTTCGCCCTCGCAAATTCTTGTACGAACTTAGGCGCTGTGTGAAGTCACGCAGCCCATGCAAGTTCAGCAAACGGCGGTGGCACCTCCCCAAACCATACCAGCAGGAACAACAGCCTCAGCGACTCCATCGTGATCCCACGCACGGCAGAGAGCCCCTCCTCCAATCTACACCACCCGGCGAATCCGCTACATCTGGCATGTTGCCTATGAAGAGGTACACTAGACTGAGTTCATGCGGTCAGGTGGCAATCCCTTTATATCACGCTGATGTTTGCGTGTAGAATCCAGTGGACATGCGCACCGGACAAACAGTAGCGCACAGACGTGCAACTCGACTTTTCGGTTCTTGCGTGAATGCGTTAAGCTTTTAAACTTCGGTCAGAGAACGCTGTGTACTTCATGGAGAAGTCTATTACTGCTGGGTGGTGCAATACGGCGCACCAATCTGTGTTCGATTTTTCCATAGTGCACCGGCAGCAACCAATGTTGGATTACCTGATACCCATGTAGGTTCGGAACTGCACTGTTTACATCCGTAGGGGATCAAACCCGTGTCTGCTTTTGCAGAGCGGTATAGCCGCCAAGTTCCGACAACTTCTCCTCCTTAGAGTTAATGTAGAGTTCCCGTGGCGTTGCCGATTTTGTACACGTTTGCACCCTTCTCTGCCCATTCTTTTGTGTCATGTCCTCTTGCTTCACACAGGTTCAGGTTGAGTGCATCTCCGGCGACTGGTCTCGTGGGAATGCAGGAGAACACGTTCCTGACCGACTTCTTTGGCTGCGTTGGGTTTCTCCCGCTGACCACTCGGAGGTATCGCATTCAGCCTACTTCGGATAGCAGTACGCTATTAGCGGAAAGAAAATTCTGCTCGTATTACATACCGCTAACCGGTTTGTATATTGTCGATGTCGTTCACTTTGTATGCACATAGCAAAGCGTTGTCGCTCGAGTGTGCTGGTGGGTTGTCCTTCCTATCTTACTCCATGACCCTAAACGCGGCACCTCTTTGATGTGTTGTCTGTTTGGCAGGCACATTCGCGAGACAATGGTGAAGATCATGACATCCCCGGCCTCTCAAAGACAGTCAGCGGTCAGGACCGACTGTGACGGGGCCCCGGAACGCACTCTTCTTCTGGGCCCGTCGACTTGCATCTTCTGGTGTGCCGTTGCCCTGGGGGCACTCGTGACGGGCAGTCCACCAGAATCGGTGCGGTTCTCTCCCTCTGTACGTGTGGCGATTACTCGTGCCGTTTCCGGAGAAAACAACCAGGTTTCGCCATTCACACATCAAACCCAACTGGTGTGCGGTGTTACCATTAGTTTTCCATCGCAGTTTGTTCATGATACAAACTTCCCTGCCTCGACTGTGGTTTGTAATAGGTGTCGAAGTATTCTGAACTGGCACAGGAAGCTCTGGCAAAGAGCTCCCCGGGACCCGCAGATCTGGAGGTCGGAAAGTGAGTTGCCGGGATGGCGGATAACAAGCCCGCGCTGGCAGTGAGATTTCGATAATATTGTAGGCGGCGCACTCTACACTCAAGCGCACGATCTGACGCTTTTGTTCTTTGCAAGGTCGTCGTGCTTGCACGCTGACGAGATGTTCGTGATTTTTCAAAAATTCGCGTACATTGCTCATCCTGTCTGCCGACCACGTCTACTTGTGTGTTCCTGAGCAGGGCGTGGGCAATTCTGGCCTACCTGTACGGCTTCATGGGAAACTTGGTGAGCTTTCGTCCCAGCCCCTGTCGACCATGTGGTTGCGCTTCGCCGTTGACGCGTATGAAGTACGTACCTGTTTCTGTTCCTCTGTGCCGAGGCAACCGGCGCACACGAACATATTTGCAAGTGTGCCTCTTCGCCGACGTGCTCGGTACACGTTAGAAACGGTCCGCAATCGTTTTTTTTCGGTTCCTCCGACGTGCTTCTGTTCTACTGATATTTCCGTCCTTAGGTTCTGTTTCAGGGGTATCTGGCTCTTTCGGACTCGTTCTTGACAAGTTCTGTTGAGCAAGGGTCCGCCGATATGCTTCCAGTGGTGAGTTCATATGCAACACCCGCCTATTTTAGGGTGCTGACAGTGACCGGGGTACAAAAAGCATGGATCCTTTACACTGGTCTGTGCTGAAATGCGTGTGGATGACGCATGCTGACCACGACAGCCTTATTTTGCGGTCTAGGACATGGCGTGATTCCAGTCCCTCAAGGAGTGCGGGCCCAGAACGATATTCAACCCCTCCTTGTCTCATGTCATGTTGTTTTTTGGGAAACGATGTGTGTCGCTGTGGGTGTTGTGTATCCTATGCGGCCGTGTGCTGACCAGGGGTTCGCCGAGATTGTCATGCACAAAGATATCGCCAACTCGTCCTGCGGACAGTGGGAGAAGAGATCGTTTAGCGTCCAAGAGAAAGCTACTCCGCAGGTGTGTGGTCGGTTGCTTCGCAGACCAGTCTGGCCATAGTTCCTTCAGCCAGAGTGCGTGGCCCGGGACTGATGCGTGCCGACAGAGTGTTGCACACGTAACTCGACTATCTACCGTAGCGCAAGGTTGTCCGCCGGGCCGCATCTATGCCCTCCACTGAAATACCACAACAGGTGGCATATGTTGAAAATCCTTTTGTTCTTTCTGCCAACAGGGTAACCTCTCTTACCCTTTCGTCAACGCCCGCTCGTCAATCTTGCTGACCCCGCAATCCCAGTTGAAGGAAGCTGCCACCGAAGTTGAGCTATATCAATTTGTCGCTCAGTCATTCAGAGCATTTGAGCAAACTGTCCACGAAACAGCGAGCATTAATAGCGCGAAGGCGGGCGACCACCTATGCGAGGCCGCGGCTGATGGCAGATCAGACACACTCCTCCGGTCCGACCACGTTCTTCTACCTGGGGAGGTAGCGAACGCTATGGGGACGGTGTCAGCAAGTGGGAACTTTCTCGACTTTGAGCCGCTTGAAGAAGCAGTAGATCGGTGAGTCGAAAGGCTACGAAAGTTTTTGAGCACATGCGTAATCTTATCACATACGGGTTTGGAGACGTGTATCAACCGATATCAGGGTGCCACGAGGATGGGAATGCAGTTTCCACCGGATCAGGGCTCCGCGATAGTGGATATGAGCAGCCACGTAGACCGTCCGTTGCCTGGGCGTTCAGGCCGTCATTCCTCCTGAACGAACTGGCTAACACCTTCCGACACGCTCGCTGTCGTACATCTCACCTGCAATCGGCATGTGTTCCTCCTGGGATGCGGCGATTCTGGTGTGACCAGACCAAGCGTTCGTGGGGGCATCGGCAGCCTCCAAGTTAACTCGTGAGAGAGGATGTGTTCTAGATGTCTAGATGTCCCTTCCTCCACTTCTTGATATCGATGCGTTTGTTGTTGACGAAGAAAATTCTTTCTTGCATGGCAGGGGATACGGTGACGATCATGTGAACAAGGCAAGCCATAGATGCCACCTGGTCTTTCAAGAGAGTGTTCTGATGCAGCGCCACGTTGGTTAGTCGCTTTGGCGCTGCCGATGAAACCTGTGGCTAGTAAATTATTGGAATGTTCCGTTCGCCCAGAATGTCGTGTCGAACTAGCGGTCATCATACAACAGTACCTTTCGCCCTCGACCCTTTTCCCATAATTTCCGAACTCTGCAGAACCCTTGTCTTTAAGAAGGCAGCAAAGGGCGATCTTCATGGCGCCCTGAAGAGAATAGGCCGCTGTGTCGAGATTTTCGAGCGTTACCCTGGCTTGTGTCGCAGTATGATCGGGTGAGTAACGTTACTGCCTTGCAGAGGTGACGTGATGATGGGCTTTCCCCCGATTATATGTCACAGATGGCGGAGATACGTCCGTAGCCCATTGAAACGGATATTCTCACTTCACAAAAATATTTCGTAGGTAACTTAATCTCGTTCATGCCATCATCAAGTGGCAATGGCAAGGTACTCCACAGCGTGACATAGAGGTGGGAATGTTAGCTCAAGAGCCTTGCGTCCTCACAGTGGCCGCTCACAGCGAAGCGGCGGAATAAGGCTTACTCTCATGTCCTCACAAGCACTTATCGAGCGCGGCTGGCGCCGCAGCGCCGGACGAGCTGCCCGCGCCGTCGAAACCGCTCCTAACCATGTGTTCGCACCTGCATCTACACCTCTGACCTCTTCCGGCGAGACTGTCAAGAAATAGCCATACCATTGGGGACTGAACCTTGGACATCGGTGTATTTTTGGGAACTTGAAGTCATCAGAGAACTCGGAACTCGGCATAGGCCTAGTTACTCAAGCAAGCACATGTCCACTTGTTGTGTACTTTTTCGAAATGGTACATGAACACTTACTTGCCTACACCATCGTGTGTTGGGGACTGCTGTGTAAAACTTCTACCTTCCAATGTGCGTGCGACCAAGTGCGTAAATATCTCTCCCAAAAAGGTGAATAAAGTGGCAACTTGCCGGATGTTCAGGGAATGAGTTGTTCCTCTCGAAACTTGGAACATCTCTCTGCTTATGATGTGTGTGCGAAACATACTACTGTACCTGCTGTCTGAGGCTCACAGAGCCATAGCAAAGGTACTAGCCAAAGCTGCACACGGACAGGCTGGCACAGATAGGCACACATGGTCGGGATATCGTGTTAATGTGTGTGCCCGGCTTCAACTCGCAAAAGATTCAAAGGGAAATATTCAATGACAGGGCGCCAGCGCTTTCTTCCGGCTTCGAAGCTGCATCTTAGTAATCTTCCGCTGTACACCGCCTCAACCAACGTTCGTCCCACTTGGCACTGCGTTTGAAGCCTGCAACTGCTACCTCACATTTACCGTTTCGCATGCACACCCACTCTCAGACGCAGGGCGTGGGGGGCGCGGTAGCCCCCTCGCGTTCACCGCCGTTGCATCCACGAAAGTGGTGCTTCGTTCCTTTCGTGGAAAACACCTTCAGAGTGTTCAGCTCGACCAACCCTTGTGTGCGGTTTATCATCAAAAGATTGGTATTGAGCCCCAGTGATGCTACTATTCGGCTCTTCTGCTTGAATAGTGTGCACGAATTCTTGATTGGAGTATGGCCGTCCGATCTATTCGGTCGACGCATGGTCTATTATGCTAGTGATCGAAGCACGACGTTTATCTGTCTCAACTCGTTCAGAGTGTGGGGCTCCCATACATATATTCTGGAATATTGGCCGCTACCTGATCGCTGGCCTCCACGTACACAACTTTGATTCGTTTCTTTCCTACACTAGTCTTCTACAGCAGTAGTATCGCTAGGGCACGTCTTGTTGCCTGATTGCCTCCGCCTCACACAATCTGAACGGAAGATGTGCTCTTACCTGGTAGGTGTTATGTCAAGCAGACATCTTCTCTGCAGTAGGGGGGCACGCGAACATTATCTCACAACTCGTCAAGGTTTCTTTCTGCACAGTCCTACACCTGCCTGGAGGGCATGAAGAAGGGCTCGGCGAAAACGCGTCACCCGACACTGTTCGGCTTCGCTGAGATACGAAGGCAGCGTATTGAGGCCTCCTTTCACTGACAGGGTACTAAGTTTATGGCATGCGTTGTTTATGATCTTCTAAAGGACTGGCTACACTTCATTCTCTTTCCATCCCCCAGGCATCCTGCGTGCTATCATTGTGGACAAGTATTTGCTGAAATTTCGTTGTTTCACGAGTAGTAGACTGCCACCGTGGTCTTAATCTGTGTCATGATCATTTTTGCCATACATCGGGCTATGGCTATCTATGACGGCAAGGATTCGTTTATTTGCATTCGGCGAGTAGGGAAGAGGAGGTGTGGATGCATGTCAGGGCTACCAAGAGTATATTTCACACATCGTCATTGTCGAATACCCTGTGTTTTCCTCTGCCCCCCGCGTTCCATGAAAGATGCCACCTGGCACATATGATGCTGGTATCTCTGGCAGCGATTGGTACCCCCAGAGCTCAGGCGATGCACGACAGGTTGCGGGAGTCCTACAATTCGTGTTGTCCTTCTGGCTCACGACTCATACCCCCTTTGGAGGAGTGGCGTGGATTGGATGCCTTCTGCGACGATCTCTATTGCAGGCATGTATGATCAACAGCATAATCATCGCCGATCATGCGGTACAGACACTTGGTGACGGAAGCGGTTCTTTCACAATCGTGACTAACCGCATTACGATTAGGATGATTTCGTGCGGGTGACGATGGTTTGAGGACGATTTTCTAAGAATGGGCTTGCAGTCTCACGCGACCAAACCTGATGGTGCTTCCTCTCTCTCGGCACGAAACGCGCCTCCGACCGCACCACTCACCGGTAGGGCAATCGACCTCGTCGCCAACAAGCTCAAGGCTTTCTCAGCGCCACCCGTTAACAGCATCGACGCCCCCGTGGAAACGGAGGGCACGGATGCGGACAGAGACAAGGGCGAAACCGCTCACCAAGGCCAATGGGAGACCCAGAGTAAAAAAATGTCAGCATATCTCGTTTCTGAGAACAATATGGGCGCAGTTCCGGTTTGGTCAACTGAGAGTGGACCTGAGGGCTGCATGCGCCCCACTCTGGTGTCGACAGGACGTAGTCCTTCTTCAGTATCCTCACACTACCAATGGCACCGTTTGAAGGAAGAGCTACACTCGGACGGCATTGAAAACAAGACTGACAACGTGGTCATCGCTCCCGAGTGGTTGTCAAGGTTGCCAGGAATGAATGACGGGGGCGGGGTGGCGGAGGACACGGAGGACGATAGCATTGGCGCAGAGGATTGGTTGGATGTGACCTATGCCATGTTAGATGTACTTTGAACGGAGCGACATGAGCCTCCTCGCGGAAGTCACCTTGGGTTGCAATCGCTGGGTTGGGAAGTAACCAGTGGTGCGTTTTCATCTCTCGGATGTGTGGTTGAATGATGCTACAACCGTAGTTCCATCGTCATACATGCCTTTGGAGTACCAGCAGGTAGGAAGAATTTTCAACGTAGGAGCCAGAATATTCAGAGAATGTCACGGTACCCTTCATGTTGGCTGCTCCGAGTCTCTGCGCTTTCCGCGAAGGCTACCAAGTAGAGACGCCGTCACGGTGACGTGACTTTCATGCTACGGTAACACGCGAGATATAATCTTTTAAGTAGCCCCTCTCGGTCTTCTTAGCGTGAAGGAGCCCCGTCACAACACGCCGTTTTCTGTCGTCAACCGGTTGGGTCTAGGCTGTGGTTGTTGGTCCTTCTTGCGCTCGGTTGCATGCACCACTATAAGATTAACGTTGGACTGCAACAATCGCAGCTTCTACAGGCATCAGTCACGTCGAGTTAGGCATTCATTCACGGGCCGATAGATCCACGTTGGAAACGCAATGGGCGCGTGCGGAACCAAGAACATTTCTTTCGTGCTTTTTTCGGGGAAGCGCTGACTGAAACCCCAAGATGCAGTTTGGGGAATAGAATCTTGTAGGTCTACATATACTATCGTTCAACGAAGAACACGTCGTCGGTGTCGAGACCTGAAAATTCATTGACTGCGAAAGATACACACCTACCAAATCCTCTTCTGCATCGTTGTGGACCAAAGCAAGCACCACGTGGAGAATGCTCCAATGGCGACAAGCTTCCTCCAATGACGACAAGCTTCCTCGACAGAAACACGGTCCCATCACAGAAAAGTTATGTGTAGTAAGGATGCGACAAAACGCGTGGGGGTGCGATCGATTTCTTTTTTGATTACGTTCGTGTCATATTTTATCGCACGGGGATGCGATATCACCGGAGTGCGATATCACCGAGCCCCGGGCGATAATCGAACTACATAAACCGTGTCGAGACCCTGAGCGTTTGTCGCACTGGGGGTGCGATAGCCCCGATATATGCATTCTGAGTATTCGATAAAAACTCCACCGCAGCAGTATGCCGCTTTTATTTTTACTGAATGGTTGTTTTCAACCCACGGCCGTACTGCAGGACACACAGTGCTTCAATGTGTGGTACGCGATGCCGCCATACGAACTGGACGGAACCGGAGCCTAAAAAGAAACTCAGTATCCAACAACTTGAGCGCCAAAGTCTATATGGGCTCGGCTAGGAACAACTCTGCACTGTAACCATTATATCGGCCATTCGGTAGCATGACCCTGACGGGGTAGGAAGTAAGAAGCCTCGGCCAATAACTACAGTACATGTTCTTAGGTGCGGGCGTGTTCTGTACAACGCCTTTCACAAGGAAGCTCCGCGGTTCCGCTGGCGCAGGGAGTGCCGTGGAACTAGTCGGTCGGGGCACTCGGTATCATCGGTGATGTCGCACCCCCGTGCAATACCACCGATCCCCGTGGGATAATCGAAGTTTAGTCTACACGTTCTTCATTTTGGGGGTGCGCTATCACCGGTACGTGCGATACCATGCATTCTCTCTACTCGCATGTGGGTGCGATAGCCCCGATACGTGCTATTCTGAGTATTCGATACAAAATCCACCGCAGTATGCCGTTTTCATCGACCCACGGCCGTACTGCAGGACACATAGCAGTGCTTCAATGTGTGGTACGCGATGCCGCCATACGAACTGGACGGAACCGGAGCTTAAAAAGAAACTCAATATCCAACAACTTGAGCGCCATAGTCTATATGGGCTCGGCTAGGAACAACTGCACTAACTGCAACCATTATATCGGCCATTCGGTTGCATGTGTTCGTGAGTCTGCGAACATTGCTGTTGGATACATGTGCTGGATGATTTTCAGTCACGCAGACTGG